GCTACAGTGTTCGGGGTTGGCTTGAAGAAAAGGTGGCAACCCTAACTGGCACTTATTATTTATAGCACTCTATGCACGACACGATTGGCCTTTTTTTGGCATTGACCCACAGATGCAGCGGGTGCAGGTTCCTTCGGGGGCCTATTCCTGATGTGGGGAGGAGATTCTGTGCCCTTACATAGGGTTCTCTGTCTCCTCCCAACCCAGGAGGTGGGTCTCTCTTCGGGAGATCCCCCCCTGCCTAGTACTGTGAGGGACCTGTTCCGGCAGGTCCCCTAAGGATCGGGGTCCACCGGCCTTCGGGTTGGTGGGCCAACAGTCTCAACCCCTGTCAGGAGCCTTGCGCCCCGGGAGGTCGGGAATCTAGGTCACTTCTTTATTGAAGGACCAAGCACCCTTGTGCACGTTTTTGTGTGCTGTGGGGGAAGTTTGTTTTGATGCACGTCCACGGGCTTCGATTAAAAAAATCAGGCTGTATTGTTGGTCACGCTGTCCATGGCCAGTGTAAGTCTCCTCGAAGTTGGATTGTATAAAAGGTGATAATAATGCTTTCCTTTGCAGTATCGGCGCAGCAGGCGGAGCCTGCCACCCCCGCTACCTGTGGCACTTTCCAGACGTCAGGAATATTCCAGGACAACAAACTCCAGGTCCAGTTCCTGCTCTACACCCCCCGAAACCCCACCTGCGGACAGGCCATCCACATCAACCAATCTGGGAGCATCGAGCGCTCCATGTTCAACTCTTCTCTGGAAACCAAAATCATAATTCACGGGTTCAGGTGAGACTATACTGAGATCCAAAGGGGTACCAGTGCTGGACCTCTTACTAGCAACCACAACTGATGTACCAATTTAGGTCCATCAAACCGAGATTCTATTGGTTACTGTGGAATTGGTGGTAGACATGTAAGGCGGTTAAAAAAATGTGTTTTGTTTCCGACTTTTTTTATTCTTTTTGGGTTTCGGGTCTGAACGCTGTTTCATTATTTGAATTCAGATCTTTTTCGAATTTCAATTTGGTTTCGGAAGCGGTTTTCTGATTGGCCAGAAAACAGTCACGTGTCCAATTTTAGTTTCATTTTGAACGGAATTCAGAAGATCGGAAAGTTGGTTATAAAGTACATTCGGATTCTTTTGCATTCGGCCTCATTGGAATTCGGACATTTTGGATGCATCCGAATGTCCAAATTCATGAAACATCATCCAAATTTGCATCTAATTGGTGTTGTTGCTTAGTTATGAGTAGAAAGTTGGCAGTTGAAGGCAGGGGCGTCCCGAGGCTGGGTGACACCCGGAGCGGTTACCGGGTGTCATCCCGCCCACTAGCCGAGACGTCATCACGCGTCGATCTTCTGATACCTAACCCTCCTGTCCCATCGCACTCCTGACCGGACAAAGCCCAAATACAACTGGGTGGGTGCGGTGGTGACAACGGATGCCTCCGTGAAATGTAGATAGATGAAAGTAGTCACTCGCACTCCATGGATATTAAAGTCAATGCTGTTTATTGACTTTGCTAAGGAGATGTGTGTTATCACAGTCAATAAACAGCATTGACTTTAATATCCATGGAGTGCGAAAAGGGATACTATTTATAGACCAACTTAGGTTAATAAAGGTTTATCCAAAATTGACTGCGTTAGGAAGGTGAATAAAATTAAATTAAAGTACCAGCTGCAACAATGTGTATCAGTGTGATCAATGTGAACTAGTATGTTGCGCTTGGTTGAAATCTCTTACGTGCGATTTTGTTTCAATATTTAATTGTGATGATGTAATCTTTAACCCTTTCGCTGCCAAGCCCTCCGGAACATTTTTCAAATCAGCTGGCCGCGCCATTTTTGAATTTTCTGCAATTTTTTCCTATTGGTTTGATTTTCAACTGCTGCGTTGCTAGCGTTTGTAAAAGACCCCCCAAACCATATATAATTTGTACAATGTCTCAGTTCGGAGTGTGCTCCGATATAAATAAAATTATAACAAGGTTATATAACAGAGGAAGAGATTATTAGATAAGGATAACAGCGTGCGAGTGTAAAGGTTCCTTTTGAAAAAGTCCTTTGGACGAAATGCATCAAGGGATTTGACTGTCTCCTCGCTGACACGGTGAAAAAGATCCAGAGGTTGAGTGTCCTTTACACTCGCACGCTGTTATCCTTACGGATTCCTGTAAGTGTAATCATTTTTCATTCAAATAAAGGTCTTTTTGCTATCTACACTTAGATATCTCTCTTTTCTGTGGCTTCTACTTTTCTCCACTCTCTTGGTTGAACTCCCCAATTACACCTGGAGGGTGTGTACCATCGGCAACGAGAGGGAGAGCAAACTGTATGCAGGAGAGGAAACAGAGGCTGAAAATAGGAGCTCCGTGGATCCGTCGACGGAAGATAAAGTAACAGATACTTGGTTATTTTCAACGTACCATCATTCATTTTCGCAGTTTGATTCTAAGAACTTGATTCCTCCCATAAGCACACTCCGAACTGAGACATTGTACAAATAGGACAAACTGACCTCGGGAAATTGTATGCCTAAAATAATCCCACTCTATTAGGGTGGATAGATAGCGGTCTTTCCATTTGGCCGTTATATATATATTTTTTGCTGGACTTCGCCGTTCATCTAATAATCTCTTCCTCTGTTATATAACCTTGTTATAATTTTATTTATATAGTTTATAGTGATTCACATAATTATCACATATATTTACACGGGTTACATTCAGATTATATATGTGCTGTTTTCACTAATACCATCATGCAGTAGAGATCAAATAATTATAAGATGAGATAAGATTTATTAATTTGTATTATTCACTTGCATGTTTATTTAATATATATTTAATTCTTAATTTCACTCTATGATATAAATCACTTATGTGTTTTAAATCACGATTTAAAGATTACATCATCACAATGAACTATTGAAACAAAATCGCACGTAAGAGATTTCAACCAAGCGCAACATACTAGTTCACATTTGACAGGTTAATAAAGGTGCATGCTTTAAAGTAGAACTATGAGGTGAGTGAAAATCACTCATCCTCATAGTTGGAGCCGACGTGTGACTGGCAATGAAACTGTCACAGGTCGGCTCAATAGATCGGGAAGTGAGGGAACACATACCGTCGCTCGCTCACTTCTCGATCATGTCCCTGCAGAAAGCCGTGACTGTCACGGCTCCCTGCAGGGATTCCCCCCTCCTCTGTCTGATCCGCCAGCGCTGACTGGCGGAACGGGCGGGTCGGAGGCAGGTACAGCTGGCTCTGCCTCTAGATAGGCAGAGCCGGCTGTCACTCACGCAGCTGGTGGATCCAGACAGTAATGTCGGGATCTGTCACGGCTGCGGCGGTCTCAGTATACCACAAGCTGTAGCTCCCTATATACTGAGCTTAGGGTGACGGGAGGACGCTAGTTTGTGTCCTTCCATTACCCTTAGCAGAACTATGGGGAAAAGCCCTGACTACATAGTTCTCCTTTAAGGAACCATTAGGTCCTTTTTCAGGGATTATTACAAAGAAGGAACCTAATGAGTAACTCCAAACATTCGGCTTTAACTCAGGGCTAACACGGGACACGATTCTAGAAGAATTCGCCTCTTTGACAACTGCAGACATAGGAAGGTTCCTAAGTACAGGATCACACAGGTGACTTTTGGTAGCTCCTCCACATGACTAAAGCCGGACTTCGGTGTTCAACTGGACACTGGAGCAAGAATCAGCTGTCAGTCGTTATATTTGTTGGTCAACAAGCTGTCCGTGACTTACCTGCCTCTCAAATAAATGTTGTTACTCTAAAACAACCCACAGTACAGAGATTGAATGTTCACTTGAAGTCTCCACAATGTTTTTAGAAATATTGGCTGCCATGGAGGAGAATGAGCTCCTTCAGAAAGGAGCTTGGTCCCTCCAGGTTAATAGTCCAGATAGGCAAATCCCTGGCTGGCAGTGGCATTTCATCCCTGGGGACTATTGGTATTTGGGCTTGTTCCTTCAATACTATAAAGTTTGAAAGTTACATCCCTGACCAGCTAGGAATTTAATGTCAGGCTTTTTTTTAGCTAGGGACTTGGTCAGGGTTTTGCCCCTCAAGAGAAAAATGCCGGCAATATATTTGTTCCCTGGCCGACATTGGGTTAGGCTCTGAGCAGCCAAGGTGCTGTCTGGCCAATAGACTTTGGTAATAATTCCCAAACGATGGCCCCTTGGCCTGGCAAGGAAATGAGTCCACAATAGTGCAGTACTTTGGGACGTAGGCAGCCAAGATGGTAAGATCTGCGAGAAATATGTAAGCCATCTGACCAATTTATGAATTAACAGATGGAGAAGGGTCAAGGGTGAGGTGAGGTAGAGGAATATAGGCCTGGGTTTGAGGGATAGACCAGAGATTCATCTGGGTGGACCTCATGAGGGAGCTGGAAGGAGAATGAGCAGAGAGAAGGCTGAGAAAGGTCCGTGGGAAGGAGGAGGAGGGAATGAGGAAAGAGAAGAGGAAAAGAGACAAGGTTGGGGATGTAATTAAAGAAAAACACGGAATGAGAGGTAGTCAATGGCGGACTCCATACTTCCCCACTGCAGAAAGCTTTCGAAAGAACCAGGGAGCTCCCCCACCTTCACTTATACAACATAGAACATTGGGGGGCTGCAACAGCTCCTCGCCTCACCGTGACCAAAGGAAATCAGTGCTGCCAAAACATTCCTAGAAAGTCATTATATGGTGACACATAGTCCCCATACCCACAGTCATGTTGCCCTGCCAAAAAGAGCTTGATGTGTCATTGTGTGGTCATAAGTATCATTTCACTTCTGTAGAAGGCAGTACAACGATGTCACCACAAGATGGTAGCAAAGTTCCACCAATAGTCTATCCCAGTATGACCCCAACAAAGCCCAGAGCAGTGTTTCTCAGCCTTTTTTTTTATCAGTTGCAGCACCTTTTAAAAAGACTGCAACAAAACGTGCAACCTCTCCAAAATCCATACCAGACCTTTATAAGGATCTGGTATGGCTTTGAAGGGAGGACCCCATACAAGAATGCAAAGTTGGGTTCTCCCTTAACATCTGAGTCCGACCCTCTCGCACTAGGAGCCCTCTTCACATTAGAGTCCCCCATTTCACCTCACAGCCCTCAATGACCTCTTCAAATCAGAGTCCTGGTATCACATCAGAAGGGTGGAAGGCGTAGGAGGCCTGGATGGAGAACTCCTCTTTCTCACCATTCCTAGATTAGCATCATTTGTTTTTAATGGTGCTGGCGGTCCATGAGAAATGAGAACGTTCCATGGCGCTTGTTTCTATTGTTGATACAAGTAATGTGACTAAGTGTGATAAGTGAAAGTGTGTCCTGCAACCATCTAAAACAATACGGAAGACGTGTTGTCCGCCATATTTTTCTGACAGGGTCCTAGGTACAAAGCCGTCCTGGACTGAAAACTTGGTAGAGGCATTGCTTGGCGCTGGGGCAGCAAACGTGGTGCTGGTAGACTGGGTGTCCGGCTCCACTGCTAAATATTCCCAATCCGTGGAGAACGTGCCGAAGCTCAGCTCGTTGTTGGTGGCGCTTATAAAACGCTTTTTGGTGAGTAAAACCAATGATGATGATGATGACGGTGTTGATGATGATAAAGTGGCAAATTGATTATTTACTGATCATTCCCAGCATTCCCTGTTGCTTCTGCCCCACCAGTCACACCATCCGTTGCCAAATAGCATCACTGTGCTCATTTTGTAGGACCTCGGATCCACCTTGGAGTCTCTCCACTTAATTGGGGTGTCTCTGGGGGCCCATGTGGCCGGCAGCATCGGCGAGCATTTTGGTGGACAAATTGGATGGATCACAGGTAGGAAAAGATATGATGTAATTCTGTGGATACAGCGAGGAACTCAACACAAGATGTGTCCATTGCAAGATTGTATTCACTTTCCAAATGGCAACCTGTCCAGCCATCAGATTGCTTGTCAGTAGAAGGCTAATAAGATTTAAATGTATCTTAAATGATTACATAACATGACCACACATCCACCATAACCACAAACCCACCATAACCACAAACCCACCATAACCACACACCTACCATGACTATATCCCCCCCGCCATGACCATACACCAACCATGACCTCACACCCACCACAAGCACACACCTACCATGACCACACAGCTGCTATGATGACACAGCTACAATAACCCTACTCCTACCATGATCACACACCTACCAGGACCACACACCTACCATAACTACACCCCCCCCTGCCGTAATCATACACCAACCATGACCTCACACCCACCACAACCACACACCTACTATGACCACACAGCTGCTATGATGGCACAGCTACAATAACTCTACTCCTGCCATGATCACACACCTACCAGGACCACAAACTCACTATGACAATACACCCACCATGACCACACACCCACCATGACCATACACCCACCATGATCACACACCCACCATGACCACACGCCTACCATGACCACGCACCTCCCATAACCATACACCCACCATGACCACACACCAACCATGACCACACGCCTACCATGACAGCACACCTACCATGACCATACACTCACCATAACCACACACCATCCATGACTACACACTCCCCCTGCCATGACCATACACCAACCATGACCTCACACCCACCACAACCACACAACTACCATGACCACACAGCTGCTATGATGACACAGATACAATAACACTACTCCTACCATGATTACACAGCTACCAGGACCACAAACTCACTATGACAATACACCCACCATGACCACGCGCCTACCATGATCACACACCCACCATGACCACATGGCTACCATGACAGCACACCTACCATGACCATACACTCACCATAATCACGAACCCACCATGACCACAAACCTACCATGACGGCACACCCATCATAATCAAACACCCACCCTGATCATCATGGTGTCCGCCACCATTCTAAAACAACTCTCTGTATTCCTAAAATCATCTTAAAATGAAGCAATGCGCCACTTCTCTACACTACTCTACATTTCTACTTAAGTATAAAATTGTGTAAACTTTTGGTGGGATCTTCTTTAGTTGGCACATAGTGAGACTATCCCAAAAGATTCTTAGATACGTGCTATTCCTCTCTCAGGTCTGGATCCAGCGGCGTATCAGTTCACAAGGACCCACCCGGAGGACAGGCTGGACTCTGGAGATGCTCTGTTTGTGGATGCCGTTCACACCGATACTGACAGTAATTTTCCATTAACTCATCACCACAAGGACATACATATTGCATGAGTGTAGGCCAGACTGGTCTGCTTCAAACTTTAAAGTGTAACTAGAGTGAAGGTTCAGATGTTGTTATGATATTATTGAATGTGAGAGAAGGTGAACTAGAGGTAGACTAAGGGGATGGAGGTGAAGAAGAGAGGATCAGATGGAGCATCAAATATAATGGACTGTGGTCTGTATCTACTGAGGAAGGACTTCCAGACAATGCAGGAGCATATCAAAGGCTGCGCGGAGGTACAGGGTGACATGACATGACATGGGGTACACTGAGGGAGACATGGGAGCACACAGGGATGTATGCTTGTAGATGCTAGATGACCTGGGGCGCACTGGAGCGCCCTTAGAGACACGGCGACACACAGGGAGGCCCTTGGAGACACATGGGGCCCACTGAGGCTCACTTGGAGATACTACGGTAGATGACATGGGGCACTCCGGGGCTCACTTGGAGGCATGGAGGTGCACTGGGAGTCAGTAGATGACATTGGCATTGGAGGCCCACTTGGGGTCACTGGATACACTGGGCACATGTGGAGACACCAGAGGCTAGAGTCAGGCACAGGAATCATGGGGGTACAGTTACCATAGAGGAGGACCTCAGAATTTAAGGTGGCGACAATCAGGAGACCTTTGCCCTGACTGGCCATGCGCTGGATCCCAAGAGCGTGACAAAATAAATATTCCCCCTCTCACTTCGATCTCTAGTAATCTCCATTGCTCATCTTTCAAACAATCCATTTCCCTGTCCATTCTTCTTTTCAGACTTCGGCATCCGCATCCCCGTAGGTCACATCGATTACTTCATTAACGGAGGCCGAGACCAGCCGGGCTGTCCATCCCTCACCAACCGTGAGTATTCCTGAACTCCCCTGAGCTGTCTATTGTACCTTTTATTTAACTTGGAGACACTTCCCATATCGACCAATCAGAATCCAGCTTTGTAATTTGGGAAACGACCTCTGGCGGCTGTTGGCGGCGGTTTTGACCAACGTTCTGTATTATCTTTATCAGTGTACCAATATCTCATCTGCGACCACATGAGGTCGGTCGCCGTGTTCATCAGTGCGGTGCGCGGAAAGTGCTCCTTCGTTGGCTTTCCTTGCTCCACCTACAAAGAGTTCCAGGAAGGTCTGTGCGTGGACTGCGAGACCCCAAAACTGTCATCGTGTCCACGTTTAGGTACGTCGCTGTAATGCTTCACGGGCCTTCCATGGTTCTGATGGGAAATTGATGTATTTTCTTGCCTGGTTCAGGGAGGAAGGACGGTCTTATTATTCCAGGAGAATTTGAATTCCAAAACTTTATATCTAATTCACAAAACTACACCAGTACAGTCGGCTACAAGACCCAGGAACCCCCCAAAGAAATTCAGCTTTTCCTGCTCACCACGCCGGAGGAGCCATACTGCAGTAAGTGTCAGTGATGAGGGTTGTAGTCTCAGGACAAGGGCACAGAAAGGTACAATGGTACTAGAAGCTGGGGACGGGTCAGGCAAGAAAACACCAACACAACATTCACCTACAATGAGTGATACTGGGGGAGGGGGGTAAATGGTGGGGTCCATTATTGGCAGTTGAGTGGTGGGGAGAATTACTGGAAGTAGGGTGGCGGGGGAATTATTGGCAGTTGAGTGGTGGGGAGAATTACTGGAAGTAGGGTGGCGGGGGAATTATGGGCAGTTGAGTGGTGGGGAGAATTACTGGAAGTAGGGTGGCGGGGGAATTATGGGCAGTTGAGTGGTGGGGAGAATTACTGGAAGTAGGGTGGCGGGGGAATTATTGGCAGTTGAGTGGTGGGGAGAATTACTGGAAGTAGGGTGGCGGGGGAATTATGGGCAGTTGAGTGGTGGGGAGAATTACTGGAAGTAGGGTGGCGGGGGAATTATTGGCAGTTGAGTGGTGGGGAGAATTACTGGAAGTAGGGTGGCGGGGGAATTATGGGCAGTTGAGTGGTGGGGAGAATTACTGGAAGTAGGGTGGCGGGGGAATTATGGGCAGTTGAGTGGTGGGGAGAATTACTGGAAGTAGGGTGGCGGGGGAATTATTGGCAGTTGAGTGGTGGGGAGAATTACTGGAAGTAGGGTGGCGGGGGAATTATGGGCAGTTGAGTGGTGGGGAGAATTACTGGAAGTAGGGTGGCGGGGGAATTATTGGCAGTTGAGTGGTGGGGAGAATTACTGGAAGTAGGGTGGCGGGGGAATTATTGGCAGTTGAGTGGTGGGGAGAATTACTGGAAGTAGGGTGGCGGGGGAATTATTGGCAGTTGAGTGGTGGGGAGAATTACTGGAAGTAGGGTGGCGGGGGAATTATTGGCAGTTGAGTGGTGGGGAGAATTACTGGAAGTAGGGTGGCGGGGGAATTATTGGCAGTTGAGTGGTGGGGAGAATTACTGGAAGTAGGGTGGCGGGGGAATTATTGGCAGTTGAGTGGTGGGGAGAATTACTGGAAGTAGGGTGGCGGGGGAATTATTGGCAGTTGAGTGGTGGGGAGAATTACTGGAAGTAGGGTGGCGGGGGAATTATTGGCAGTTGAGTGGTGGGGAGAATTACTGGAAGTAGGGTGGCGGGGGAATTATTGGCAGTTGAGTGGTGGGGAGAATTACTGGAAGTAGGGTGGCGGGGGAATTATTGGCAGTTGAGTGGTGGGGAGAATTACTGGAAGTAGGGTGGCGGGGGAATTATTGGCAGTTGAGTGGTGGGGAGAATTACTGGAAGTAGGGTGGCGGGGGAATTATTGGCAGTTGAGTGGTGGGGAGAATTACTGGAAGTAGGGTGGCGGGGGAATTATTGGCAGTTGAGTGGTGGGGAGAATTACTGGAAGTAGGGTGGCGGGGGAATTATTGGCAGTTGAGTGGTGGGGAGAATTACTGGAAGTAGGGTGGCGGGGGAATTATTGGCAGTTGAGTGGTGGGGAGAATTACTGGAAGTAGGGTGGCGGGGGAATTATTGGCAGTTGAGTGGTGGGGAGAATTACTGGAAGTAGGGTGGCGGGGGAATTATTGGCAGTTGAGTGGTGGGGAGAATTACTGGAAGTAGGGTGGCGGGGGAATTATTGGCAGTTGAGTGGTGGGGAGAATTACTGGAAGTAGGGTGGCGGGGGAATTATTGGCAGTTGAGTGGTGGGGAGAATTACTGGAAGTAGGGTGGCGGGGGAATTATTGGCAGTTGAGTGGTGGGGAGAATTACTGGAAGTAGGGTGGCGGGGGAATTATTGGCAGTTGAGTGGTGGGGAGAATTACTGGAAGTAGGGTGGCGGGGGAATTATTGGCAGTTGAGTGGTGGGGAGAATTACTGGAAGTAGGGTGGCGGGGGAATTATTGGCAGTTGAGTGGTGGGGAGAATTACTGGAAGTAGGGTGGCGGGGGAATTATTGGCAGTTGAGTGGTGGGGAGAATTACTGGAAGTAGGGTGGCGGGGGAATTATGGGCAGTTGAGTGGTGGGGAGAATTACTGGAAGTAGGGTGGCGGGGGAATTATTGGCAGTTGAGTGGTGGGGAGAATTACTGGAAGTAGGGTGGCGGGGGAATTATTGGCAGTTGAGTGGTGGGGAGAATTACTGGAAGTAGGGTGGCGGGGGAATTATGGGCAGTTGAGTGGTGGGGAGAATTACTGGAAGTAGGGTGGCGGGGGAATTATTGGCAGTTGAGTGGTGGGGAGAATTACTGGAAGTAGGGTGGCGGGGGAATTATTGGCAGTTGAGTGGTGGGGAGAATTACTGGAAGTAGGGTGGCCGGGGAATTATTGGCAGTTGAGTGGTGGGGAGAATTACTGGAAGTAGGGTGGCGGGGGAATTATGGGCAGTTGAGTGGTGGGGAGAATTACTGGAAGTAGGGTGATGGGGGAATTATTGGCAGTTGAGTGGTGAGGAGAATTACTGGAAGTAGGGTGGCGGGGGAATTATTGGCAGTTGAGTGGTGGGGAGAATTACTGGAAGTAGGGTGGCCGGGGAATTATGGGCAGTTGAGTGGTGGGGAGAATTAGTGGATGTAGGGTGGCGGGGGAATTATGGGCAGTTGAGTGGTGGGGAGAATTACTGGAAGTAGGGTGGCGGGGGAATAATGGGCAGTTGAGTGGTGGGGAGAATTAGTGGATGTAGGGTGGCGGGTGAATTATGGGCAGTTGAGTGGTGGTAATAGGCCTTAGATATCTCGGGATGACCTTGCTGAGAATTACCCTTGAATCTACACGATCCATTGTTCTGCCTGTTTCCCGTCCATTGTGTCCCCGTATCTTCTGGGTTATTGGGGGCTGAGGACAGTATGAGGAGGTTATTGAAGTGCGGAGGTAGTAGGGGACCCATCAATTGTCCATCCTCTGCAATGCTCATAGTACACCATGGAGCTATGGAATCTGCTACTGAGACTCCTCCTCCATCAATGATTATAAAATCTCTGATATAGAATACATGTATGTTTACCTCTATACCCCGAGCTGAGATCACGGCTTGTCTCCTGGCAGCTCATCACATCTTGCTGGAGTTCACCTTGTCTAAGCCGAAAGCCATCAGCATCACCATGGAGATCCAACTGTACAGCGCCGATTCCAGCCGCAGCAGCAAAACCAAAATCACCATGTGAGCATTCACCACACTCATTCTATACTTCCTTCCTTCCTTCCTTCCTTCCTTTATTCTTTATGTCCTTTCTTTGCTGTATTCCATCATTTTTAACCTTTCTTCTGTCCTTCTTTCCTGCTTCTTTTCTTCCTTCCTTCCCTCCGCTTCATCTGTCAGGCTACTCCCTTCCTTCCTCTCTCCTATCCTTCCTCCCTTGCATCCCTTCCTCTCTTCCCTTGAAGGGAGCTTCTTCCTTCATTCCTTTCTCCCCCTTCTATCTTTCTACTTCTTTCCTTCGTTCCTTTGTTCCTTTCTTGTTTCCATCACTTTTCCTTCCTTTCGTCCTTTCTTCCCTCTTTGCTACTTTACCTCATTTCTAACCTTTATTCCTTGCTCTCTCCTATCCTTCCTTCATTCTTTCTTCCATTCTCCCTTACTTCTTTCCTTCCTCCTATCCCTTCTTTCTTCCTTTCCTTCTTCTCTCATCTTTCCTTCATTCTTTATCCCCTTCCTCCCTTGTATCCCTCCCTCCTGTCTTCCTTCTCTCATTTTTTCTTTCTTTCTTTCTTTCTTTCTTTCTTTCTTTCTTTCTTTCTTTCTTTCTTTCTTTCTTTCTTTCTTTCTTTCTTTCTTTCTTTCTTTCTTCCTTTCTTCCTTCCTTCCTTCCTTCCATCCCTATTTATTTCTGGACATTGTTTTGGTTCTCTTTCATCTATTATAAACACACAGGGGGTTATTCACAAAGCTGCCGAAGGCAGCCGAGCGACTAACCCAGCCAAAGTGAAGTGAGTTGAACACTGTTTGGATGTTCACTTCTGGCTTCTACGGCTGATTTCAGCTGTACATTGGCTAAAATCAGACGTACATTGGCTGCCTTTGGCTGTCTTCGGTGAGCCGAAGTGCAGAAGGAGTTCGACTTGATCCAGCAAAAGACAAATAATAAAAAATTATTAACAAAAAAAACCCGACACATGCCGACCCGACCGCACGCGACGAACTCCCAACCCATAAAGAAGCATCTGACAGGTGTTGGCGAAAGAAAAACAATTGGGTGGAGCTAGTGGTGACATTACCGCTAGCTCCGCCCAACTGTTTCCTATTGGCCGGCACCTGCCAGAGTCTTCTAGCAGGTTCCCGGCCAAATGAATAACAACTGAGCGAAGGCAGCCGTGTCATCACCGCCGGCTCCGCCCAGTTGTTATTGTTTAATGACTGATCAGCGTCCCCAGGTCATTTGGGGACGCTGATCTGTCATTACAACTGGGCAGAGCCAGCCTAGGAGATCACGGCCTGGCTCCGCCCAGCTGTCATTTGCGTGGAGATCGGTCAGCTTCCGCCTACCTTCCTCCACGCTTTGGATGTCACTCAAGTTCAACCAAAGCATATGCGTTCGGCTCGGCTGAGCCGCTCGGCTGCTGTACGGGCTATTGTGAATCGACTGAACCGAAAGGGCTCAGGGGGCCGAAACGAGCCGAAGGATCAGCCAAAGCTGCGGTTGGATCCTTCGGCTCTTTAGTGGATAACCCCCTTAGTTGCTATTGTTTTGTACATTGGCTGATGTTGGGCTTTGGATATTGCAATGGATGATTGTATTTTATCTCATATATTTGGGGTCGCAGCAAGTTTATAACCCAAATTAAGCAACTCTGTGTCTCTGAGGGGCTTCTGGGTCCCCAAAGTCTCCTCCTATAAGTCTAATGGGGATCCCTGTCCTGGTGAACATGAAGCTGAACTCCCGGCAGAAAAAAAATACAAATCTTCCCCTAAATGTGCTTGACTTGTGTGTTTAGCCATTTGTCAGGAGTTCAGCTTTAAGGCGGATGCTCTCTTTGCTCTCAACATTCCCATAAAGCACCATTGAGTCTCCTAATTTATTTCTCTCACCCCTCCAGACCAAAGGAGACACTGGAGGGCCGAGGCCTGGCTGCCCACGGGACCCGTCTATGCCTCTTAGACAAGGTCCAGATTCGAGTATTGACCAAGAGCGGATTTTGGAGAAGAGGGCCGGAATTCACAGGGTTGCTGTGTATGACCGAACTGCCCATGAACAGACGGTAAGGAGGCAATGTTAGACTAACAGACCCGGGCCACAACAACCAATCAGTATGGCCAATAATGATACATGGTTGGAGATTTTAGGTAGTTTTCCCTTTTTGTGTCCAGTGAGCTTCTGCAACCCTCAAGAGCCATTTAAAGTCCATGATAACTTCTAACCCTAACCCCATAACTCTCTAACCCACCAACCCCCTAATGTTCTAACCCTAACCCCCTAACTCTCTAACCCACCAACCCCCTAATGTTCTAACCCACCAACCCCCTAATGTTCTAACCCTAACCCCCCCTAATGTTCTAACCCTAACCCACCAACCACCTAACTCTCTAACCATAACCCACCAACCGCCTAACTCTCTAACCCTAACCCACCAACCACCTAACTCTCTAACCATAACCCACCAACCGCCTAATCTTCTGACCCTTACCCACTAACCCTCTAACCTTAACTCATCAGACCCCTAACCCTCTAATCATAACTCTCTAAAACCACCAACCCTTTAACCCTCTAATCATAACCCACCAACCCTCTAACCCCCAACCCAATCTCCCTAATCCTAACATTCCAAGTACTCTAACCCACCAACCCCCTAAAACTTTAACCCTACCTCCCTAACCCTGACCCCCTAGCCCACCAACACTTTAACCCTAGGTCTCTAACCCTGGCCCACCATCTCCCTAACCCTCTGACCCCAATCTTAACTCTCTAATCCTAACCCCCCAACCCTATCACCCTAATCCTCTATGCACTCTAGCCCCCTGACTTATTGTGAGTCTGATCCTATAAACCCCTAACCCTCTCACTTTCTGACCCTAACACTCTAATCCTAACTCCCCAATCCTCTAACCATAACCCACTAACCTTCTAACCCTAACCCACCAACTCCCAAACCCTCTAACCCTAACTCACTAACTCTCTAACCTCCAACCCTATCCCGCTAATCCTAACCCTAACCCACCAATCGCCAAACACTCTAGCCCTACCTCTCTAATCCTCCAACTCACTAACCTCTTGACCTTGCCTCTCTAACTCCCTGACCCTAATCTTCTATAATCCTAAACCTCTAACCCCCAACCCTATCACCCTAACCATCTAACCCAACAACCCCCTTAACCCTCTAACCCTACCTCTCTAACCCCCTATCCCTAACCCACAAACTCCCTAACCCTCTGATCCTAAACTTAACTCTCTACTGCTAACCTGGAGTGTATCTACACCTTTCGCCGACTGAGGCCCGGGTGGTGGTGCATATTACTGAGGAAGGGGGGGCGGGGGGGGGGTCGTTGGTTATTGGCGAAAGGTGGGTGA